CATTCCATGGTTGCAGCCACTTGATTACTAACTGACATTTGAAAGGATTAATTTCCAATGCATCCACTCAAGTATTATTTCTCTCTCACACATATACAAATTATATTATCATATACATTAATTATAAAGACACATATTATATTTGATTTAATGTATTCAATATGTCAACCAAAATAAAGTATTATAAATTTTTACTAATCAAATTATCAATGATCTATTATTTTAACAAAATTTCATCTTGTCCTTACAATATGAGACATACAAATACATAACCTATATTATAAAAACATATTTTTTATTTAACCTTTAACGAATGTAAAATTTTAATTTATATTTACATAAAAATATCAGATTGGAATGGATAACTGAACTATTGTACAGTACTTCAAATTCTAAAAGAAAAATATCTTCGTGAAGGATTCCTTATGAAAAATGCCAGCCTAAAGATTTGATACTAAACATTTAGTCACAAAATGTGAATAAAGTTTTAAGGGACAATTATTACAAAAAATTATTCCCAATTATTTTTTTAAAAAAACTGTCACACGTATATATTTTAATTAATGCAAAAAGGGAAAACTTTACACACTGTTCAATTTTACTCCAATTCAAAATGACAATTATAATACATTTATGAATAAAATATAATTAATAAGGGTTAGCTTATATTTTAGTGTACCCCTTGGATAATCGGCAAATTGTTTCATTTATGGTAATCTGAGTAGTTGAATGTTATGGAAACCCTATTATGATGTGATTGGTTGTGTGACTGCAGTGAATTTGACCGATGGGAAAATATCTGTAAGAGCTTATTTCTGTATTGCATATTATGTGCTTTGCATCATAAAATGGCTGCCGCTGGTAAACTAGGTGTTTAGTTGTATAGAACGAGAGCAGAAAGTATTTTTTGAAGTGGTTAAGGACAGAAAAAATGAAACTTTGCTGGATGTAATTCAACGGAATTATAAGTGTCCTGTTTGCATGAAGGAAATGTGTATAGTTGAACGTAAAGATCGTTCAGATGGCTTTGAATAGGTTTGCTGCAAGAAAGGCTCAAATGCTCACCATATAAAGTGTTCATTAGAAAGGGAACATGGTTTGAGGAAAGTTTTTGGATGCTGTTAAAGAATTTTCTGTGCCACAGACTGAAGACAGAGATTTCTAAATAAGGTAAGTGGATTATTTCCTTTGTGTAGTGTGTAGATACTATAATACGTATTTTCTTTATGTTATTTCACTGTTTTCTTTATGATTTAAACCCTATTATGCTATGATTGGTTGCGTGATTGCAGTGAATTTGACTGATGGGAAAATACTTGTAAGGACTTATTTTTGCATTGTGTAGTGTGTGCTTTGCATCATAAAATGGCTGCTGGTAGTAAAATGGGTGTTTGGTTGTAAAGAACTACCGACAGGAAGTTTTTTTTTTTTTTTTTTTTTTGGAAGTGGTTAAGGACAGGAGAATTGAAACTTTGCTAAACGTAATTCAATGGAATTATAAGTGTCCTGTTTGCACGAAGGAAATGTGCATGGTCAAACATAAAGATGTCTTTGAATGGGTTTGTTGCAAGAAAGGTCCAAATGCTCACCATATAAAGAGTTCGATTAGAAAGGGAACATGGTTTGAGGAAAGTTTTTGAATGCTGTAAAGGAATTTTATGTGTCACAGAGTGAAGGCATAGAAATTTCTAAATAAGGTAAGTGGATATTTCCTCTGTGTAGTACTTTTTTATGATATTTCATTGTTTGATTTAAAATGCAGTTTATTGAGATCATATATTTTTGTTTGACTCTAGTGTACAATTGGGGGCTCCTTCGATTTTTAAATAAAAATAGATTGATGTGTACGTGGACAAAGTCAAGTCAGTACGCAATGCCAAGTTTGTGCAATTCTTTGACTTGTTATTTTGGTTTTGAGTAGCGGCCATCTTGAAATTGTGGCTTGCTGGCCAATAGCCAAAAATTACCAATTTTCGTTTTACCTTAATACAAACATTGCTCAGATAAAAAAAAAAAATTTTTTTTTTTTTTTTCTTAAATCTATCTTTACACAAACTATATATTTCCTCTTTTAATTCAGGAAATAAAGTAAATCTATGGCTGACAGATACAGGACTACTGCTTTTCAAAAGTGTATTAAAATACATTTAGACATAAAATAATTATTAAATTCAGATAAATATCAGATCACATTTCTTTTACTAATATGTTTTAAACTTGAATCTTGCCCTTATAAAATCAAAAATTGTAGCTTAAACAAAATTAATTAATTTCTTGTGCGCTTTAGCTAACAACTACTCCTTTATATTGTCCAACGAACATAATAAAATACCTTTTACATAATTATAATAAACAACAGTAAATTTAAGGCGAGATTAATTTTAAAAATACACTCTAGCAGATTAGCCTGAAAAAATTATACCATGTAAGTATTATCTGAGTTTAAGTTATTGAAAAGCTCCTAAATATACAAGCTGTTTCAGCAAATCAGTTACAAACTTTCAGGAGAAATAAAGTACACCTACATGATGGAAAAACACACAGCAATGCATGGTTAGAAATGATTTCCTGACACGGCAGTGACAACACGAAACACTAGAAAGGAAGGACACAAACTGTTTAGGAATATATGTTTATTATGCTTAGTGCAGTGGAAACCAAGAAGGAAGAACAAAAACAGATGATCATCATCCAAGTAGGTGTTCGAAATTATATTCAAAAAGTATCTCAACATAGGATCGGTAAGGCTCGTCGAGTGAATTGGCTTGCAAGATTGTCAGCCCCCACTTGTACAGACTACTTCCTGTAGGGGTATGTCAGGGCACTGGTATATGAAATCCTCGTTAGAAGTGCTGAGGAATTGCTGGACACATCATGGCAGCTGCTGGAGAATTCTGGGACATGCCCAATATTTTCCAGAACATTGGTCCAAAGTTGTAATTTCGAACACCTTCTTTGATGATGACCATTGTCTATTTATTTTTATATCTAGATTTCTGCTGTACTAAGCATAATAAATATGTTTCCCCATGCTGCTCATATTCTTCCTCTCTTGGGTTTTGTGTTGTCACTAGCGCACCAGGAAATCCGTTTCGACCATGCATTGCTACGTCATTTTCCATCATCTAGGTGTACTCGTATTTCTCCTGAAAGCTTATAAATGATTTTCTGAAACACCCTGCATATATATTACTTGGACATAATATATATTTTAATTTACTAACAATTCAAATTTTTGGATTTTCTCAGTATGCTAAACACTTTAACGGTTTGGATCACATTAGTAATATTGTAATCAGATGCTAAAACTGAAATGATTTGAAACACCCAGATATTTTAGAAGTTACCAATAACATACTATTTAAAAAATATTATTTGCTTTACAAATGCCCAGAAAGCTACATGGAGATTAGAAAATCAAATGCCAAGATCTTGAGAAAAGTGTTCGATGAACAATTTTTTTAGTTGTGAAGGAATTAAACAGAGAACTTACAAGAATTTCAAGTTAGAATATGACACATTAAGGACAGGTTTCATTTTTCCCACACATCTTGACATTTTAGCTTTTTCTCAATCTATCGTGTGAACATGGCTGCAGATATGTGAACCTGATAAAAGGGAAGTTAGAATCATGAGAGAATATATTCACTCGAAACAAGTTATATGAGAGGATATGAGGTGCACGTTTTTATTTTTAAAAAAGAAATTGTGAGGTACATTGTTTAGCTAAAGACAGTACAAGAAAGGGAAAGAAATAGATTACAGATAAAAAGGAAATTAAATATAATCACACGCCAAGATCAAATTCTATCTGAGAACAAATGCTTTTACAAAATATATTAGTAACTTTATATGGTAAACTTCATTTGCATACCTGGTCTGAAATTTCCATGCATTTTGAAAAGTATTGAAATGAAAATGTATGTATTTTTTTCATTTAAAAAATGCACAAAACTTTTCAATGATATTAAAAAAATACTTCAAAATTCACATATTTTTTGTCTGCATGGAACATTGCTTGATGCCAAGTTTCTTAGAAAATTAAATATATATCTCTACAACAGTCCCAGCTGAAAACTATTTCTAACTCAGGAAGATTTTGAAGGTATTAGATTAAAAAAATTGTACAACCATCAGATATTTTAATAAGACTATACTGATAGTTTCAAAATTCCATTCAGTTTGCTTAAAAAGAAAGATCATGCAATTAATTCTATTAATTGCAATTAGTTCTAAATTCCATTCAGTTTGCTTAAAATGAAAGATCATGCAATTCTTTTTGTAGCAGAAAATTTACACGACTTCAACTACTTGATGATCAAAAGAAATAAAGAATGAAATATGATTTTCAGAAAGTTAAAACCATTGGCGATTTATCAGTTACTGCAATGATACATATGCTTAAAATTAAGAAATATCACACAATATGTTGTATGAAAAGAACGTAACAAGCAGGAAATAGTATCAACAAACTATTTCAAGAGCTCCTTACCAGTGACTTATATAACAGAGAAATACTAATTAAATTTATTATTTTTCACTAATTAAATTTATATGGGAATTTAATTTCATCTAAAGGTAACAACTGCTTTATTTTGTAAGAAAAATTCCACGCACATTAAAATATTTAAACACACTGGAATGCTGAAAACTAAAATAGAACCACCCACAAAAAAATAAATTTCTCCTGAACAAGCATATGTTTCTTAAAAGTTCTCACAGAAGTGTTATAAGACTCCTGCACAGTAATATAAAGATCTTCAAAAAAAATTTTTATAACATTAATGCAAATTAACAATTAAAAGTAAAATATTAAATAAGAATAATCAGTTATCAGATTTTACAAAAACTATTATTTAAAAACACAAGTGAACTATTAACCATATCTAACAAATAAATGTAGTAACACATATATGTATTTTAAATATTTTTAAGGAATAATTCAAATGAAACATTCCGATTTTTATACACCCTGCTTTATAGAAATATTGAAGGTATACTTTGAAGTTCATAGACTCTTTCTGTGTCAGAGAGTAATTTCGAATGCGAATCTTTTCCTGGCTCAATCTTCCGCACATGTAATAACTTGTTCCACCATCCTTCACCACCTGAACTCCCATTTATCACTGCTGTAGTTGACAGTGTTCTATAAGAAAGTATTTTTTTAGAACTTTGTTTAAAAAAAAACTGACGAAAACAAGGATAATGAACAAAAAGCAATTACACAAATTTCTATTTAATTATAAAAAAAATAAAATTTATTTCTTCCAAATTGCAGAATAAGATGCAACTCGGATCATCCATGATTTCTGCACACGATTTTAATGTGACCGGGAAAAATTAATTTTAAATTTATTTGTTATATAAAATGCAGCATTATACTATGTTTTGAGGTCAAGTAGTTGAACACGACCAAAGTACAGTGCAAGCTATAATAGCGCTACGTGAAGCAAGACACAGGACATACGATATAAGATTCTTATTATACATTAAAATCTAATCTTTCATTCCAAAATCTACAATTAAAATACCTTAAAAAGCTAAGTAAAACAAGATTTTTGCTCCCTGTGCACGACACTGATCTCATAAGAGACAACATTTTTGTCATCTCAGTGTAACGTTGAGTTGTAATTTCTTTTCCAGGAATTTGAAAATATATTTCTTCATATGATGAAGAAAATCAACAACTCAACACAAAACATAGTGCATATACTAGAATTTGTTTGGCAACATAAGTAGATAGTAAGGTGCCGTGGGTTTTAAAATATTTTATATTGAAATAATGCTTGGAAAATTCTGAAATATGTTTGCCATATCTTTGTAACAAGTAATAATATTTACTTGTGTAAGATAAGTTTAATTAGTGCACCGGCAAATTAGAGTTTCTTCTTGACGTAATATGAAATGATGGCTGTAACAAAGAGTGGAAAGTTTCTCCGATATACTTACTCTGTGCTTCTGAAAAGGTAACAAAGCAGTAAGGAATCGTAAAATATTTGTAATGATTATATAATAAGCGATCAGATTATTATTTTGTTGTTTCTAACCTTGTTTCATGTTTCTGGAATAATTTCATTAACATAAGCTTAAAATCCGTTAACGTACATCGTTCTCATGAAGCTGCCTTAAACAGTGGCTCATATTAGTTTCTGGACACTTGTGTTTTTCTCTTTTATTTGTAAATGTAACTTCCTAAATATTAGTGAAAAGATTTTATATTTCTTTCACATATGATGTTTATCATCTTAACAAAAATCTAATTGTGTTGAAAAAAAGATACCGAAACAGTGTTGATTTAAAAACTAACTTATTAAAAACGTTCTGGAAAGTTTATATAAGTATTCAGACGCTTTGATGTGAAACAAGTATTTTGTCGTATATTTTTTTTAGTTAACATTACACTTTTCATGCACTTTGGCATAAATTCAACTAGTTTTTGTTTTGTAAGAATGCTCCATTCCTCCAAGTGAATAACTTTTAGGTAGAGATTTTGATGAAATATTATATTTCCTTATTAATTTTTCCTATTCACTTCATAAATGTTGGAGAGGATTTAGTCTGAAGAATATAAAGGAGTTTTGATAACTTCAGAGCAGTTTTATAACCACAGGCAAACATCTAAGGCGAGGATCATTATCCTGCTAAAACTTGACTGTATTTTTCATTCCAAGTTTTCTTGTAGATGTTTTTCAGTTTTTATTAAGGGTGTTTGTACTAATTGATGTTATTTTTTATAAAACTTAAATTTTCCATCCCATCTCCAGACAGTAAAACATCTCCAAACTTTTATATCTTGCTCAACAATGGACAATTTTTTTTTTTGGTTTGAATTCTTTATTCCTCTTTTGCCAACAGTAATTCTTCCATCAGCCCCATATCTATTAAATTTTGACTCATTTGCAAATATGTCAGTTTCAGTATGATAAATTTGACAGATGTCAGGTGCATTTTCCTTTTTGGTGAATGTCCTTCTTTCTGATCGCCTATGGTATCCATGTGCAGTAATGATTTTTTGATTGATCTTTGGATTATGGTAACTTGGCGAAAATTTGGTGACCAACTCTGCTACAGCAACCCTCTACCTTTTTTTTTCGCTGCCATTTTGTCTCTAAGTAAGACATATTTTTTTCTTTTATTACTCAACACTTTTTCCAACATCTACTAGCCGAATTCACTTTGCTAGAAATTTATGTAACAAACTGCTTAATCATGACAAATATTAACTGCAAATTGGGAAAAAAAGTGCACAATCGCAAACTCCTTGCGCGTTTTTCAGAATAGCACATACACATAAACCATTACACGTCGACTTATTTTTACTTAAAAAAACATCCCAGAATTGCACAAAATGGCATTGCGCACACTCTTCACTATATCCACGTACCTGCTTTTTTCTCATAAATTAAAAAATTTCACGAAAATGCATGAAAATACTCAACGTATACTACTCAAAGTATTCCAAAATACACAACATAAATTGCAAAACATTATCATTAATTAAAAAATTAAAAAACACCTATTAAAATATAAATAAGCATACATTAATTAATAAAATTAGATTACTATCTAATTACTTTAAACTAATATTGCTATAAGTATTTTCCAATAATACCACTTTAATTTATTTACTCCTTACATTTAGAACAAAGCATAAAAAATATCCTCAATGATAAAATATAACTTACTAATTTCTTCAGAATCTTTTGTGGGCACGCCAGTTCCCTACAGAAAGATTCCAATCGGCGCCAGTACTACTGCTATTTAAACCGAATCCAGTCAACTTATTATTAATTATTACTATTAAAAAATTTAGAATTACTTTACATAGCACCATGCAATCCGAAAATTAATCAACACTATTTCACACAACACACAATAAAGCTTAATACAAAATAATTTTTCCAAATTTACCCCCTTTTCTGATTAAAGAATTGTAATTTGTCTATTAATGTCACATGACATATCTCATGATCTCTCATTTCCCTCACACAAAATAATGCGTAATCGGAACTGAGTACTTCCAAAGCCCCCTGAAGATAAGGCGGTTTTGGTACTTCTCACATTATTACCAAAGTCCTAGGTAGTAACCTTTATCGCCTCCAAAATGTCGCCAAACTACCTGTTACCATATTCCAAAGATCAGCCGATTTTTCTTTACTTCCTTATTATAATGGCCCCCAAAGCTTAATTCTAATCAACCAAGATGTAACATGTAGCAAGGTATAAGAGCATGTGATGAGATATCTCAGTAGATTAGCAATTCAATCTTGGGGTTCTGCTATAATAAGTACCTATTTTTCTAGGAGTTTTCAGGATTAAATAATATTAATGCAAACCATTTGTCTAAATGTGCAAGTTTTGCAGCACCACTTTTTGGTCTGCTTTTTTTTTTTTCAGATAAATCCTGATTTCTTTTTGTTAGTTTGAAGTATAATAAGAATTTAGTGTATTTTCAACAATTCAAGCAGTTTTTATCATTTTCTTACATAAAAGATAGTGTAATGTTTTATATCAGGACTGTTTAGATATTTTGAATATTTTTACCATTTCAAAATGATGAATAATTAAATTTCTAGCAAAACTTGTCATTAGTTTGTAACATCCCAGGTTCACTTCTTATATGGAATAATTAATATATTTTGCTAAACAATTCATAATTTAAAAATACAGACATGTAAGGCAATTAATAGTTTTAAAGTGCATACATCATTTTTGGGATGTATTGACCCTTAAAATAAAACATAACAAGAAACATTTCCAAAAAGCTTTCGAATGTTTGAATTATTATGAATTGCTGATTAATACTTTTTTAATAAATTAATTTTATTACCAGAAATATTTTGATGATTATTTTTAATAAACAAAGATTAAAATAGGTGGAAAATAATACACAGTACCTGCTGGTTATTAAAATCATTTCCATTCCAAACATATTTGAGTTTATTAACTGTCTGAGTTTAATAAACGGCAGATTCAGTGTTATAAATTACTGTATTACTGTAAATTACTTATTTAGTAAGATTGTGACTAATAATTAATACCTAAATTATTAGTTAAACATTAATGCTAAAATTAAACTATCTGTAAAATTTGGAAATTTTATTTAATTTTTTATAAAAAATTTTTACAATTACGTATTTGATGAAATTTTAGACATTTACAAAGAAGTGCTATGTCTATTTGTATTGTATTGTTCATTATATTATCTTCAATTATATTTTCAAGTTTTTAACACTATTGGTAGCTTTTCTGAACTCCACTTTCAATTCAAGAGTTTGCAATGCTCTTTTTGATTCAGCTGAGGTTGGTGTGCATTTACTTTCTTTGTCGGTTTTAGTTTCTACAGCTCTTTTAACACTTTCTATAATTTTATAGTCGGTGTTTTCATATGCTGTCTCGATTTTATCATTAATTCTAAAAGTGAATCTTCATGTTTTCCCTGTCTGATGTGCAAAATATTAAAAATAGTTTGCAATTCCTCTGTAGCTTCTTCTAAATACAAACCACATTTTCGCTTTTCAGCATTTCATGTGCTGACAATAATATGCATCATTTCTAGCAAAGGTACTATTTGAGTTTTCTCCTTCGAAATGCTTGCATTTTAACAAGGTTCAATTTTGTTTACCTTTTTTTGAACACCTCTCCTGTAATGACAGTTGATTGGGAATTGGGCTGAAATTGGGCTTTTATAATATTTTGGTCTAAAGGCTAAATAATACAAGTTCTATTTTCAGGAAGAAACACTAAATTAACGTTTTTCAGAACAATAGCAGAGAGTTTGCAGTGCAATTATCTAAGAGAAATTTTTTCCCCCCATTTTTCAGTTCTCTGTCCAATTACAAAAGGAAATCAATAAAAAATACTGCTTGTCATCTATTAATTCTTGATATCTATACACACATACATCCATACTTGTGTACATTCATAATTTCTGAATTCAGTTATTGTTATTATGCTAAGGTAAATTTACTCCTTTTAAACATCAAGGTTTTCTACTTTTTCTAACAAGCAATGGTGTCTTCTTAATTCTTGGATCCATAGTGCATGTTAATAACATAGTAACTTGTTCTTTTAATTTCTCAAAACCAGTTGACATTTAAATATTAATGTGCACTGTGATAATGCTCTGTAAAACAGACTGGTTTTTCTGTGTCATAAATTCTATGTGTCATGTACTCTTTAAGAAGCCTGGGTAGAATGTCTTTTATCCAATTCTAAGCCGAATTATGATCTGCCCCTTCCTTCTCACCATGTAGTTTCTGATAAACAATGTTATTGCTGTCTTTCCATCTTGTGATCTATCCATCTGTTCGTAAAAAAATTTCTCTTAACATTTTGATGAATTCTATACCTTTTGTAGTCCAGAAGAGTTCTAGAAATTAAAACAGTTTTTTTGTCTTGAAGCTTGAAACCATTCTAGAAGACTGGTTGCAACATCTCTTGATTTTCCATCCTTTTGCATTTTGTATTAGTCCTTTTATAAATTTTATTTCTTTGTTCAAGTAAACTACACAATGCTGTTTGGAAAATTCTCATTTTAAATGCTGCTTCTGTTTGGCAAAACTTATAAAGTGTATCATAATCTTCCAGCACTTTATCCTTTTTCATTAATTTTTTTTTAGGTATTTTCAGCATGTTACGAGTAATGCAGGCAGCAAATAAAAAATATTTCTTCCAGTGATTTGTTCAGATCCAAAATTCCCATCCAGCAGAAAAATTGGGCTTTGTCGACTTGGCACTTAATGGTTATTGTTCAAATTACTGGTTTAAATAAATTTATCTGTTTAAACCAGTAATGAGTATTAGAACAAGAGTAATGACAAAATCACAAGTGACATTGGAACACACTTATAGAATATAAAATGTCTTAGAGTACAAAAACGGTGTGACAGAGGAATTACATATTTAGCACTCTCCAGTTCTCTTGTCACTAGAACTAACAAAGGTATGATCAGTGCCATAAGCAAGAAGAACTGAACTAATTGCCATATGAAAAGCAAAACTTAAAAAAAAAATTTTACTAATACAAATCTGTTAATTGTTCCCATGAGTGGCTTATCTTTTATGCTGAGCAGTTCTCCTAACCTTTTGCTTTCAGAGAGCTGTCGTAAAGATATTTGCTAACTGCTCTTCAGATTTATCATACTTTAGAATGACAGATTTGCCTTCACATTTTTCGCGAATAAAATGGTAGCACGCATCAGTACGTTTTGTGTGTTTGTGAAACACAGGGTTTTTGATCAGCTTAGTGACATTCTGGTTATCAACAAAAATAACAATACCCTCTTTGCACATTTCACTCTTACCCACATCTTGCAGAAGTTTGAGCAACCACAATACTTCTTTCACTGGAGTTGAAGCTACAATATATTCATCGTGAGTAGTAGCTATAGAAACAATTGATTTCTTTTTATTACACCAAGTTACTTAATCATTGCTAAGTTGAAAATATAACCAGAAGTTGATTTTCTTGTGTCCACATCATCAGCAAAATCTGCATCTGAGTATCCAGCAAGATGGCAAGTATCATTAGTTACTGGAGAATTATTGATGACATAGTTTGCTCTAGTTTTCAGATGTTTGAAAATACATTTTACAGCATTCCAATACAGTTGGTCAGGATTGGCTTGAAATCCACTAACCATATTTACAGCAAAAGCTATATCTGGACATATAGTGATAGCAAGGAACATTAGTGATCCAATAGCTTCTGGGTGGGGAACTGTTTTTTCTTCTGTTAATGGATTAGATTCTAATGATAGGATTGTACTAGGATCTGCAGGTACGGACTTGCATCTTCTAAGTGAAATAATTTCAGATTACATTTTATATAGCTTTTTGAATGTATGAAAATTGATTCCATTTGCTTTATAATCAATTTGCTTTGCAATAAAGCATCCTGTTTTTCAAATTATTGCTTCAAACTTCATCCTCAAGTCATCCTTAACTTCAAATAACATTTCCTGTTCTTCACAAAACAATAAAGCATCATCCACATATGGAATTAAAAATACTTTCTTATTTCAAAAGATACTGCTGAAGACACATGAATCATAGGCACTTTGCATGAAATTAATACAAGTTAAGAATGCAGAAAATTACTTGTTTCAATACGTACAGGAAATGCGCTAAATGTTTTGCATAATTTAAGCCTGAAGAATAAAAACATTGTGACATTAAGAAAATGAAAGGTCGGTAAGGCAAACAAACAGTGGTGAATGTCAGCTTAAGAAAATTCTGCTGTAGATTTTTTTTTTCAGATTCAACAGACTAGTCAGCTGTTGATACTATATTTAAAAATAATTTAAAAGAAAGAAAAAAAAATCATTGTCAAGGTGGAAGCAACTGCCACCAAGCAACTTCCACAAAGGAACCCATCAGATACAACGATAAATTGTATCTTATGTGTTCCTTTATACTCAGCGTTTATGAGAATTAATGAATTATAGCGTGATTTTGTTATTGTATCTGAAATACGCACTAATATCTTTACAAACATGTGATTGTAGTTTAAGCAACTATACCTCACAAGAGTAGGTACTAACCGTAACCCAACCTTATTTGTAAAGCTAATTAAGTGTATAGGAAAAGTTGTTTTATGGCCACTTATAGACTTTATTAATTTATATAAAATTTTGCCTTAAAAAAATAAACCAATCGATTTTGTTTAAATATTTACTTTTTAATAAATATTTGAGGGGTGTAGGAAAACTGAACTAGTGCTGTATTTTAATCATTTATATCATGTGTGTGAAAATTCACTTTTTTCTGTAGTTCGGGAAGCGGATGAAAATTGAACTTCCATTACATTCAGATCTACATTAACTTGGATGTTCTAAAAATTTGTAATTTTAGATTTAAATTAAAAATTTTCTAATCATCCAATTTCACGCGAAATAACTTGTATATAAATACAAACAGTAGAAGAGGAATGAAAATCAGTACCTATGGAAATGTTATAAAAATCCCTCATATTTTTGAAGTTGCATTGCAGACTTATAGTCCAGAAAAAAGCTGTCAGATCAAACATGTAAAAAAATACTCTTTAACTGTAATTAAAAGCCCCCCCCCCAAAGTCATTCTAAAATTGCATAAATACACTCTGTAATTTTCTTCTATGAACAAATTTCACTCTTTTTGGTTTGTTCATATCTGCAGAAGTGTTTGTAAAGTGAATAATGTCTGCTGTTCAAACAAATCTGAATATTCAAATTTCCGAAACAAATGATAGATTATAATATACTGCTTTGGAATAGGCTCTTGAGAGTAATTTTTCTTGTGCCTGGCTTGTCTTGTACATGCCACAGATGGTCTAGTCCCTTAATTGCTTTTTCCCCCCTTTTCATTTCTTTAAGCTTTAATCTGCATGATACAGTTGTAGAATTATCAACAATTTAAAAATTGTTTAAGTGCGGCTAAGCCTAATTTTTTTTTTCTTACCATATCAACCGTATTTGTTTACATTTGAAACTTAGCAGAATAGTGAATTAAGAATTGAAGGTGTTCAATGTGTTTTTGCCGAGTGGGACCAAAAAGACACTGTTAGTTTTGTGCACCGAAAAATCTTACCTGTTGGCAGAATTGCTTGTTTTTGCATAGAAACTGTAATTTTAATTGTAAAACTTGTTTTAACTGTATTTGGTGTTTAGTGTTTTCCAATTTTTAATGAAGATAGTTTGAGTTTTGTGTATTTTTGCCTTGCCGCGAAGTGAGAACTGAATTAATTGAATGAGAAATATATCTATAATGAAATCCGAGAATGAAAGTGTAAATGAAATGCAGGAAAAATGCATATAATTTAATATTCCATACAGGGAAGTCATGTAGTGTATACATCAGATTTTTTTTCTTTTATCTGATTGTTGAGTAGTTTCTGTGCAAATTACTCTACACTTAACATCATGTAAAGCAATGTAATGATCTGAGAATTTTAGAGACTTTGAAACTTAACTTTGAAAACAATTCATTGTCACCAGGTGATCAAGAATCAAAATTATCTAGCAAAGTGTCTAATAATGCTTTTTACTTTATTCATCAGTGACAGTAAAAATTTCAATGTAACTTATATTGTTTAATATGTTCAATATAATATATGGTACAGAAATATGGAAAGTTATAAAGAATATCTTAAAACTGATTGATAACCTGGAAATAAATATTTTCCTACATATGGCATACATTTGGTAGGGATGCTCGCTAAATGAGTAATTAATACAAGGTTTAAGTTCAAAGTGGCAGTGATGAAAATTTAATTTATAAGTGAATTTCTTTTAATTGCTTTTAAATGATATTTTATTATTATATATTGGAAAATTAATTGTAGTTTTTGTTTTGTTAACAGGTGCATCTGAAGAAACTGCTGAAGGACATCAGAATTCATCATTAGCTTCCACTTCTTATATTATTTTGATGTTAAAAAAAAATTGAAAAGTCAAAATGCGTATATGGAATTTTCTTTTCTTATGTTAAATATATCAAATTGTAATTTCTCAAATTTAAGAGTGAATTAAAAATGTCTGATTTGGTAGGAAATCCAGAATATGAAGGAACAAATGATTTGGTTTCCTTATCTTCAAAAGAGCTTTTAAATAATCAGCAAGAAAATTTAGAAACGAATAAGTTTCCTCGAGTTTCCTTGGAGCAGATACCAGATGTTATTTCAGAAATGGTCGAGATAACATCTAAAAATATAGAAGAGGAAAATGTGAAAAATATAGAAGAGGAAAATGTGGATATAAATTCTCCTTCTCAAGCAACTGTTACAGAATCCCAAGAAAATAGTTGTTCAGCTGAAAAGGAAAGTAATCAAATAGATAACCAAATACCAGAAAAAGAACTTCCGGAACGTAGAAGGAGTAATCGTATTCGTCGCTTGGTAGTTAAACCTGATGGTTTTGTGAAACGCTGCTCTGGTACAAAAAAGACTAAAGATAATAAAAGTACAGATAAAGTAATAAATTTACAATTAATCCCAACACCACCATCCACGGATACAGAAAACATTAAAAATGATGGTGATGAAATGAGTTTCTCTAGTGATGCCAATTCAAGTTCTAAAACATCTGGCATATGCTCTAAAGATGAGCAACTTGAAGATGTAGAATTACAAAATATAAGTAAAAAAACTCAAGTGGGAAAGATTAATAAAAAATCAGTTGCAGGTATTGGTAGAAAATTGAAATCTGAAGCAAAAAAGAGTACATTCTCAAAAAAGAAATCGGATAAATCTATTTCTGAAGCATCTGAGAAAATTACTAGTAAAGAAAAGTCTGAAGTAGCTGCCTCTCTTAATACTAATTCATCAGCTGAAAATAGTGATGAGAAATGTTCTTCTTTACCTCGAAATGTAAGTGAGAAAAAAACAAAGTCTGAAGTAAAGAAAATTACTTCCAGAAGAAAAAGGCTTGATAAGAACAGTTCTGAAAATCCATCTATAGAAACTACATGTAAAGAAGAAGTTGCTAAGACATCTGATTCTGATAATAATAATAGTGAATCTACTGGCATTACTAAAGAAACTGTGCCTGAAGTTAAAACTGAAAAAAAGGTAAGGTCACAGACAAAGAAAAACAACTCTCGTCGAAAGAAGCAAGATGCATCTACTTCTGAAAATGCACCAGATGAGGCAGTTTCAAAAGACGATATTTCTAAAAGTGTTGATTCTGATAATTGTTCTGCTGAAATTGTTGAGGAAAAACATTTTTCATCACCTCAGACTTTAGCTACATCATGTGCTAAAGTTCTAGACAGTTCTGAAATAAAAGTACCTGAAGCTATAAGCACTTTTGCCAAAAATATTTTAGATCCAAACTCTGAGATAATTGAAAATAGTAATGTAAAACCTGTTAAAGTTAAATCACGTTGGTGGCGTTCCAGTGAATTAGAAGGAGTGTTAAATTCTGATTCTCTAATCAGCCCTAATGATCAAACAGTAGCAGCTAGTAATGTAATGCAGGAAAGTCCAAATAATCCTGAAAATGAGTCAGAGTCTGCTGGAGTTAATGAAGAGGCAGAAAATATCCAGATGGATGTCCAAGAGCCTAGTGTAGCTGATGATTCTATAAAAGATGATAATACAACTAAGCAATTGAATTATCCAGTGTACTGTCACATTGAAGAAAACATTTATCGATTTGCTAGGTAATGTATTCACTTGCTTTTGTTACTTTTATTGTTGTTTATTGTTATATTGATTTCTTCAACCAAAACTGGAAAAACTCTTTATTGTTAATGAATTAAATACTAAGATTTGGCATATATACGATTACACTTCAATTGTATCAGCTATTATCATTATGGGCATGCTGCTTTTATTGAATCTTTCTATCATATAGATGATGGAAACACTGTTTTATTTTATTTTAACTAATCGGAAAAATTTCAATCTTATCATTTTGGTCTTTTAATTTTTCTCATTTATTAATGATGTCACTTACTCCAAAGCTTTGTAAACTGAGATAGTAGAAATGTAAAAGATCAGCACAGATAAGATATAATTGATAGTAGCTGATTTATGATGTACCTACTATTTGTATGACACTCTGAGTTCCTTGCCTAGCTATTGATATTTTTAAAGGTGTACTAATCTTTTCAGTAAGATAGATTTGTCTTAAATTTCATTTAGTTAATTTGTGGGTAATAAGTAAAATTAATTAATTTATCTTTCGAAATAAAAAGCTTGGGGAACAAACGGTTCATGTTCTTAATAACCTCTATTTTGATGATCAGTTTTTCTGAGAACATAATTAGCTAATGGTACTGTATTATTAATATTTAGTTTCTGGACCATTTTCACAAAACACTATTTTGTTTGGAATTGTGAGTGGTGGTCTCAGAAAGCTTTCACTATGTTAAATTTGTGTAACTGCTAAATTAATTGGGTACTGATAAATATTTTCATTATTTTTGTATTTATTTAATGGATTAAAGTTGCATGATGTCAGTAATTTACTAGAAGTAGAAAGTTATCTGATATAATTAAGACAAATGTTGCAAGATATTTGATAAAGAAATACATTTAATTAAAGAACATATACATTTGTAAATATGCCTCTTTTATCAGTGCTTGGATTCCTAAAAGAAAACTTTAGGGGGGAAAGGAAAGCAGATACTTTTGATTATCTGCAACCACACCAGAAAACTGCAAAAAAATATTCCTGAGACAATATGTCACCAAAATAATTATGTAGCTATCCACAGTATTGCCAGAAAGCGTTTAAATGGCAACCCAGGTATGTGCATAGCTTACTATGTCTATTTTACCAATGTACAGAAAATTTCTTTTACTTGCAAAGCAGCTTTAAAACAATCTATTGCTTTGTCATATTTACTGGAGAGGTTAAAGAGAGCGCCTAGACCATTCTGAACATCAGGATCTGGATCAGTAAGGTTCATTCGAGCTGCTTCAATAAACATTTCTTTGACTGCTTCCCAGTGTTAATTTATGAAGGAATATTATTATAGAATGTCCATTAGAGATTGAATTGTTATTTTGAACAACTCATTTTAAACATGATTTTATACTCTGTATATTTTCTTAGAGATTAATTTTTTAACTGATTGATGTTGTTCTATTATAGCAGTTTCAATTGTTAAACTAGAATCTAAATCAATTTTTTATCATGCTTTGAAACCCAACTTTGTAATATAAGGCGATATCAAAATATATGCTGATTCTCTCACATGGAATAATGTCAAAAATCTCTTGTCAGATTGATCTAAAGGCACGATATAATACATCTCGGAAATATTATATTCATAATTATTATAATTAAATTGTCCACATTCAATATAACAGTTGCTGGTAGATAGGGTGTACTAATATTTTATTTAAATTCAACATGTACATGCCAGATAATTTGTGCAATTATCTGACTGTTTTTAAGCAAGCAAAAAAAAAAAAAAAAAAAAAAAAAAAAAGATTATTGTGTACATGGGGAGAATAATATCACAAAAAGGGTTTGCTTGATAGAAGTAAATGTTTCATTATGAATATTTCTTGCTTTTTTTAATTTTATTAACTGATCGCTCTTGTATCGAATTCTTGTTGGCTGCCATTTTGAAAATGGCTATTACCTTTTATGCATTAGCTTGGTGAAAAATTAGTCCTCATTGAGTTCACATATGTTTTCCAAATTTGTCAACAAGTTTGTAGATTTCTGGTGGGGGTGAATAATCAGAAAGCATTAGAAAATGAAATGTTTACCACTACTTAAATATTTAAGTCATTTTAATTTGTACCATTCCTTGAAATAGTTATGTGTTTTGGTTTATAAATTCCATGTACGGTGGCTCCTAAAAGTGTTTGTACACTTATGATTTTCATTGAAATAGGCCTGTATCCATTAGTTAAAAGTAAACTTTCTGAATGAGATTTTAATAATAAGATCTGTAATCTATTCGTAACAAAACTACATGAAATATATTTAAAATATAGTGAAACTTTATTTTTAAGAAATTAATAATAAAAACAATGCAAGCATTTTATCTCACAAAAGTCTTCATACATTGAAATATTTTTGGATAAAAACAAAATTAGAATTATTGTTTAACGCTTTTTTAAATTTTTTCATTGTGGTGGCATTTAAAAATTCGTTTGCTTTAATTTGTTATTGTTTACTTTATAATATTCTGTTTATTATTGAAAAAATGGGTCGCAATCGTAAAGAAATTACAAACAGCATCAGAAAATTGATAATTTTTCACCATAGTAGTGGTAAATCAATTCGAAATATCGCTAAATTAGTCAATTTATCCCATTCTACAGTGCAGTATGTGATAAAGCGCTTTAAAGAAGAAAATCAGATTAAAGACAAGGTCAACCGAGAAAGTTAACTAAACGTGATAAGAGATTTATTATTAGAAAATTTGTGAAAAACCCACATTTGAATGCTGTAAATGCTTCTGCAGAATTTAATGCAAAGTTTCCTACATCAATTTCACCTGAAACTGTTCGATGAGTTGTCAGAGAAGCTGGATTACATGGATGTTCTGCCCGTAAAAAAGTTTTTGTTAGGGAGAAAAACAGAAAGCTTAGGCTTTCATTCACAAAATCAACGATAAATACACCCAAAACGTACTGGAATAATATCCTATTTGCTGACGAAAGCAAATTTAACACTTTTGGTTCCGATGGTCAAATAACTATGTGGAGAAGAAAAAATGAGGAACTTCATTCTAAGAACTTATTTGGAACAGTTAAGCATGGCAGTGAAGGTGTTATTGTGTGGGGGGTGCACGGCAGCATCAGGACTAGGTAATTTGGTACTTATTGATGGCATAACGAATCATTCTCTTTATTTAAATATTTTAAGATACAATTTTAAAATATCAGCCCAAAATTTGGGGATTGGAAACAACTTTATTTTTAATCATGGTAAGCATACGGCTCTCAACGTTCGCCTGTGGTGTCTCTATAATTGTCCACAGGGTTTGAAAGCACCACTTCAGTCGCCAGATTTAAACCCCATAGAGCACAGTTGGAAAGAACTGGAGGTAAAAGTATGAAAACACGACATCAAAACAAAAAGCGAACTCAAAACCGTCATGATGGAAGATTGGATGAACATTGATACAGACATTTAAAAAAAAAAAAAATACTAAAATCTATTCCCAGACGTTTAAAAGCTGTTGTGGATGCTAAAGGATATCCTACAAAATATTAATTTAACGGAAAATGAAAATATTTACTAATATGTCAAGATTTTTTTGAACTGTATGAAGACTTTTGCGAGATAAAATGTTTGTCTTTTTTTTATTATTAATTTCTTAAAAATAAAGCTTCACTATATTTTAAAAATATTCATATAATTTTGTTACGAATAGATTATAGATCTTATTATTAAAATATCATTCAGAAAGTTTAACGGATAGAGCCCTATTTCAATGAAAATCATAAGTGTACGAACACTTTTGGGAGCCACTGTACTTCAAATCCACTTCTATAAATGAAATTTTATTTTTTCCAAAAACTGATAGTTTCTTGAAAAATTACAAGATGCCATGAACAAATAAAGTTAATAATTTGTTAATTACAAAGATTTGGGATTAGTTTGGGATGAAATTTTGGGATATTTTCTGATTATGTTCAGTCGCTTCCATTTGGCATTTTTGGCAACTAATTTTTGGCAAAGCTAATATGCAAAAGGCCATTTTGAAAATGGTAAAAAGCTAAGAATATCATAAAAAGAACAGTAAATCAGTAAAACTGAAAAAGGAAGAAACATCCACAGTAAAAACATTTACCTTTTTAAAGAAATCCTTATGTAATTTTTTTTATGTACTGTTTTCTGCGAGAGCTCTGTTTTTGCTTTAAAAAAATCAGAGAATTGCACAAATTTCAATCCGTAAAATTCAGTTGTTTTTAAGAACTGCAGTTTCATAGAATGCCAATTTTTGCATTCAGATAAGTGATAGTCGAATTCAAAGGTGAAAATCCATGCTCTTTGGCTGCGTGCTCACATATACCTGGGTTGCTACATAAATACATTTTGGTGACATAGTATAGTGTGTTGCTTCATGAATATTTTTCAGATGTGGATAATCACAGAGAATGAGATTTTACTTCTTTCTAAATAATAATAGATACAAAAAACTTTATACACCAACTTTATATTTTATATGCCGGTGACTAAATGCATAAGATTACTGTATACTTATAGATTTGTTTTTGGTTCATTTTCCAGCAAACAAGACATTTTATTAGAATTCTCATAGTTTTCTCTATGTATAATGTGAATACAAGCTGGTTTTTCCTAGAAAGTCATCTTCCACTTTGTCCATCTTGAGGCAGATAATGCTTATCATTGACCAAAGAAATATAGTCACAGGATGCTAGTGATTTGACCTGATTCAAATTTCGGCAAATGGCTTGGCTAAATGGGTGTTTTTTATGGTTTTGTTCCCATTTGTAATGTGAATATGGGTAAATTTTTTTAGAAAGTTCTCTGTGAAGGCATCCCTTCTCTTAAGCAGATATTTTTTGCCATAATCAATTAACCTTTAAAAGACTGGGGAGTTTGGAAAGGTTTCACTTAAAAAGGCGGGTAATCCAAATTCCTTTCCACCCCCCTTTTAGCTGCCACTGTAAAGGGAAACTTTTACTGTTTTGAAATCTTTCCTTAAGGTCCCCTTTGTTAATT